CACACACACACACACACACACACACACACACACACACACACACACACACCTGCAGTGGTTTTTGAGGGCAACTCTAAAATTGCCTCTATTTATGGGTCGGATGCGTGTATGGACGTGTTTGTGTCACCCTACTCGCCTGCTTAGTTGCCTTGCTAATCTGCGAGAGAGCGAGAGAAAGAGGGAGCACTAGGTAGCAGGCTGGGGACTGCACTGCCTCTACTCTATCTCGTCTCTGCCCTCGCGCCCCTCCCCCTACTTTCTCTCTCTCTCTCTCTCTCGTCCAATTCACCGACTAACCCATTTGCCCACGATCGCTACCATCCCAGCCACTTCGACGTGGCCAATCAGAAGGCCCTGCCCTTCTCAATCCCACTTAACTCCGAGTTGCATGCGAGATTGGAACAAGCTGAGTCGGTCGATAGCCTACGTTAAAGAGACAATTCTATTTTTAGTTTTCAGCCTAACTGCCACCGTAAATAGGCAATAAAATAAAAAAGACCAAGTGAAGAGTTGACGTGAACGGCGCATGGGCTTATTCGATCTCCACCCATCCATCCATCTATACTTTCCTTGATCTGTCCTCTCAACTGCTCACTTCCTTCTTCGGATCCCTCCTTTCACTTTAACACCATAGTTAGGATCACATCAAAATTTTTCGGAGCCATGAGTTCCATCGTTCTCGAGAGATCCCCTGAAAGTTTTCCCAAGGTGCTATTTATCTGTTCAGCGTGTCTCACCATCGGCTCTTCTTTCTCACCTTCTTTCCTTTGTTTTTAGACAAGGACCGATGTCTGGGTCAGGTGACTACGCTCCTGGATCGAAGGTTAGTCACCCTTCATTCTTTATGCTCTCTTAATGCGGATGAAGGGCAGTTAAAATGAGGGAAAGGTCTTTATTTATTCAGTCATTTCGATTGCCTAGACATTCACTTGTAACTGCCTACCTACTTGGAGTATTCATTTGGTCAAAGACCGTTAGTTTCAAACGCTGATTCGATGGTTGATGAGGAAGAAAAAGACACGCACTGTTGTTTGTCCCCACTTTTTTGGCTGTTGTCACATTGTTTTGTCCTTCTATTTCGAGCTGAAAGTACACGATTATTTCATAATCGTTGTTGTTCTCTCTCTCTCTCTCTCCCTCCCCTTAAATTTCCTCCTCACCCTTAGTGTTCATTTCACCATCACGTGCTGCATCAATGTGGTGACGAAAGCGATTTTGGCCTTTAGTGATTTTTCACGGAGGTGGTAGTTCCTCCTTGCACCCACCAATGTAAGCATTCACTACCTAACTGACCGTGCAGGTGCTGGCTCTTTTGATTATGCACAAATAAAATGATGACGGCTTTTGGAGGTGTTTTGTCAGATTTTGGGTAAGATTTTGTTGGTGCGATCTTCCTCTCTTCGGTTTGTTTGGCGTGTTTTCTATGGTGTCTTTGCGCTGATGTCAGTTACACATTCACTTCCAAATGTTGCTGGTCGTCGTGTGAAGAACTCCAAGGTCTGACCCGTGCAATATGACTTTTGCTCGTTTTAATCGGTTGGAGTGAACTCAGTTTCTATCCTTGCGATTCGAAGATCCACTCAAAATGGTCTCTAAGCCTCTTTTTGTGTGTTCATACTTAAAGGTGTTGCAGCCTTTCTTGGCTATCCGTCAAGGCTGAAGTCAAAACCTCCTCTTTCGTTTAGGCTGAATGAGACCTCCTGACCTATTGACCTCTGTCTAGCTAATTCTATCTCTGTCAATATTTCAAACAAACGAGGGAGACTGGGAAGTGTTTGGTTGTACTTTTAAACCATTCCAGACCGGGCAAATACCGTGATCTGGTCCTTAGAGAAATGGAGAGTGATTGTGATCTCTCTCCCCTCCTCTTGGTGGACAAATTTATCCCCTGTACAGTTTTACAGGATCAGATGCTCCTTCTACGCCGTGGTGCTTGAATCTCCATAGGAATGTATCCGGTAGTGGTAGAGTGGAAATTACCCTCACCTGGCAGAGTTCCCATTCGTGCATGGAGTTCTTCACTCACGCATGCAAAGACCAAGTCGAATAAGTTCCATCGCCATGTTGAAATATTATTTCTTGAAGTCTATTCCAGTTGTTAAAGCCCTAGACTATAATAAATTTTCAAATCGCCTTCTAACACTTTCAATCACCATCTGTCACGTCGCAGACTACAGGTCGTGGAGAGGAATTCCCACTGCGTTTCTCAGTTGGCGAAAAATGGGCACAAAGGCAGAGCTTCTACACTAGTCCCGCTTCACATTCTTCGACCTCATCACTTCGTTCTCGAGATTCCACTGTTTCACACCATTCTCAGGTATTGCCGTCCGAATCAATCGCACCAAGCTTGATTCCTGCTGCTACTGCTCTTGCTGCCATGATCAACTAATAGCTCTGTTGACCTTCTGATTTGTTCCCATTTCACGCCTTTTGTTTACGCTAGTAGCCGGTTTCATGTACCCGTACGCACGCGCCATTTTGATGACAATCTAGCGTTGGAGCTCCAAGTGACTTGCCAAAATCCTTAGACCCTACCCGAAAGGGAGGACAACAGTGGCTTGAATGCTCTCAGCACATACTAGGAAGATCATATAGTTTCACTTGACTCCTCAAAGACACCGTAGTCTTGAATGTTTCAGTTTGATGCCTGGAAAGCGTTCTCATCATTGTAAATGTGTGCTTAAAGTAAGCGTGTCTCTGACTGAATGCTCCTTTTTTTGTCACTAGCCTTGAAGAGTCCATTTGGTATCTACGATTGGAGTCCAAAAGACGCCTAATTTCTCAAGACTGCGTAATGGATGACTGCATTTAATCAGATGTCACTTCGGTAGTACTTGCATCGTCGATAGTAGCACCGTAGAATTGTGAGGACGGAGGGCCTGCAGTTTAATGTGATTTCTCTCCTGATACTACTGAATTGGAGTCAACAACGGAAGCTTAGCAGATTTGGAATTAGAATAGCAAGCTCTCAAACTCCATGCCGTCGTAGCGTTCAGGGCTAGGTTGGTGCTTCAGTTCCAAGATAACCTTGTACATTGTCTATCCACAATCCATCGTGGCGCCTTTCATGCTTGACCACAGGTTTGTTTAAATGGTACGCTTTCATTTAGTGTTCGCGGTTTTGATCTTATTTTTGGGCCACTTTCTTGCTCCTTTATCACGGGCTTACATTACTAGGAGAAAAGGAATTTTGCCTCCTTTTGACAGCCCTGACAACTAAAATAGCGGGGAGATGGGGAAAAATAGGATTGTGTTTGTTCTACCTTCCCCACTCCCTTTTCATTTGGCCAGAGCAGACTCATTACCACTGTCAGCGTGTCCAGGCAGCCCTTACGACTTCCGGGAAGGGACAAAAATATTGGCCAATTTTTCATTGGCTGGCAAAAAATTGCTTCAAAATGCGTTTGTGAGGTTGTCTGATGGAGTGAAGTTGAGGATGCTTTCTTCTTCTAATGATTCCCATTAAGCTTGGGACTCTTTTGATGCTCATTGTTTCGTAGCCTTGGTTTGAAATGTTCCTTTTCTTTTTTTTTCAAATCGTATCTACCTGCGATATTGTTCTGCAACATGAGTGGGGAAACGTACTTCATCTGGCATACTGAAATCTGTTGCCTTGGCTTCTTCTAGTTCTTCAGGAGCTTTTTTCCCCCTTCATGGACGATCATTTGCTCTCTTTCGGTATCCTTTAAAAGTGCATTTCTGCTTGTACTACTAGCCAAGGTCTTGTGCAAATTTATCGTTGTTGCTCAGTCGCCTCTCGCTCGCGATAACATCTGTATCTCGACGCTCCCAATTCTATCTTTGGCTTGGACGAGACATTTTTATTCGCTCTCTGCTCAACTTCATTTTTGGCATCGCGAGGCCTTGGATGGGTTCGAAGAAATGATTCTCTTTTCTCTCTCTTGTGCCAGAAGCTGGATCTGCTGTTGGGCAATAAATTTACCCTCCTTTCCATGAATTACCAAGACACCTCTTCGCTAGAACAATGGGTGAGAGGGCGTGCAATTCCTGACCTGGGCTTCCACTACCAAGCCAACTTTCCCCTAGGCAGGCGTTGGGTTATTCTAACAGACGTCTCATTTTGTCGTCTGAGTCGGAAAGTGCAGGAGGTAGACGAAAGGGTGCTTGTGCGAACGAGTCTCCGCCTCCTCCACAGTAACAAATGTTTACCGAACCATGATGTCGACTATGGTCTAAAATGCGATCAGTGTGTGTCTGGCCCTTCCTTCCTCGCCTCCCGTCTATCTCCACCTCCTGCCACTTCAATTCACCATTCGCTTTCCACCTAGATCCACACGACACGTGACTTTTTATGGCTAATCTCTGTCAGACGGTAATAAAATTCCCACTCAAGTCGCCACATGCATAGAAATAATAATGCCACCATGAATTCTGTCATCACTGTGGGTGGATGGTAACGACGACGATAAAGTGATTCATGTTAATTATTTCTTCAACTTTGTAAACTGCGCAGTTATGCACACCAACCTAATCACCAGTCGTGCATTCAACTTCTTCGCTATTCTCTGGTTTGAGCTTAACTGCGTTTTATTGTGTCATCGGCACGTTGACCTTTCTTATTTTAATTATGCTACACAAACTAGCTCTCTCCGAAAGTCATTTCGACGTTAGACTGTGGTCATGGGGGAGGAGGTCGACTGTTGCTGTGACTAGGATTGTGAATTTGGTAGCTCATCTGCATTTAACCACACATGCGGATTTTTGAGGCCATTTTGAATTTTCATTGGACCAAAAACCTACTTTTCTTGTTCACTTCGGATCTCTGGATGCCTGATGCAGCATTATCCTGACTTTCTAATTAGTGAACAAATATGCGCAGTGCTTTTGGTTGAAGAAACAGACACGCTCCTGTGAGCACAAGACGGCTTACCTCCCATTTTGTACTGACAGTTCTACAACATCTAGTGAAACAACTTTTTGTCATCGACTGATTTCTGTTTAGCTTTGGGGTTCGAAAGTACAGCAGTAAGTCGAGGTTAGCATTGTTTGTGGGTCAGGAGCGTCGAAAGGACATCTCCTCTGTTTACCGTGCCAAGTTAAGGTTTCCTGAACCCGCCTGAATTGAGCTGGGGTACACTCAGCTCAGATCCTTGGCCTTCTCTTGTGCATGGGTTATGGTGACAAAGGTGAAACACTTCTTTTTTTCTTCCACATTTAAGGGGATAAATTAAGCTACACAAACACTGGAAATGCAACAATTTATAACATAAGGTGAGCACGTATTTCTCATTCTCCTACTGGTAATAAGGACGTTTTTGAAGGTTGTCCCGAGGGTAAAAAGCCTGTAGCTAATGTCCACTTCGACTCCTCTCACTCTCATCGTGTATTTTCATCTCCCCATGATTTAGAGGTTACCTCTAGGGCGTACGATAGAATGTGTTTATAATACATTGCTTTATTTCCTTTCTCTCATCACCCCTCCGTTTGTCATGTTGGAGAGTTGTTCCAGATGCACATCCTTTGCAAACCCACACCTCACCGAATGCTATCTCTAAGCTGTTCAGTATGGCAATCACCGGGGCTCCTTCATTCGAGTCTGTATTGATGCTTCTCAGTTCATTTAACATTTCAAGATTTTTTTAAACTTTTGCAAATAAATATCGTGTTATCGAGGCCTTTCAATCAGTTCCGCCAGTGTTTATCCAGGGGGAAAAAGGAGGGGGATAATCCAACGCCTCTCCACACCTGCCCTCTTTTTCCTGCCTTCCTATTGGTCCACCTGCTAAGTTGCTAACGTATTCACACTGACATTCCACTCATGGCTCAAATCATTATTATTGCGTTTTTTTTTAATTAAAATGTCATCGATAGGTTTTGTGGGAAATTTAAACAAATTGGGAACTTTTTTATTTGTCCTTTACTTCCTTTTTCAAATTGTTTTACACATTGATGTTTGGTGCCAGTGGTGAATGTCTTTTTCCCTCCTCTTTGGAAGGGGGTTCGATTTTACTTAGCGCGTGACATTTTCCGTTTGGTATTTCTTTCTTCCTTCAAGATTGGTCAGTCAATTGCATTCTTTGTTTATCTTATTTATAACTTAAATGTCTCACCATCCTCATTCTTATCCTCATCGACTCTTGCAGTTTTTGATAGGTCCTTAAGCAATCACACCATCTCGTCACGTTGTTGTCATGCCTTCCCCATTCCCTTGGTAGGACTGGGAGTGGCAGTTGTCATCTCAATTTCCACGAGTAGGAGGTGAAACAGCATGCGATTTTTAGAGGCAGCGGTGAGAGGCGGAGGAGGAGGAACTCACATTTTTGGGGCAACTATTATGCGACACTTCTGGTTGGCCTGTCTTATCTGTGAAGTTCCAGAGTGAGCAAATAACTTCTTAAATGTCTACACGGTAGATGAAAGCCAAGGTAGGCGGCTTAAGTAGGCGATAAAAGGGGCAAGTAAAGAAGGTCAGAGATGGCTATTCATTCCTCCAATCCCACTAGGTGCTTTACTGGCCTCCTTTCTCGTCACACTGTCATGGTGATAAAAATGACACGAAAGTCTGAGATAGCTCCGTCATTTTTACCACATTTTCGTTTCTATAACTTTTAATGTTTTGCAGATGTTTCGTCTTTTCTAACTCTTTTTTGTCTTCTCTGGTTCTTCATCCTCCTCCTCCTCCTCCTCCAAATTCATCAACACCTCCTACTCACTCAATGGCTCCCTTTCGGTATGACAAAACGAAATGGAACACTGGTCGTGCGTTCGGTCCGCCCCTCCCTATTCGTCTGTCTGTCTTTCGGTCTGTCTGCTTGCCTGTCTATTTCTTTTTCCTGCATGATTGCATGTGTCCGTTCGTCTAACCAACCATTTCTTTATTGCATGCATGCGTTTGTTCTCGCCATCTTGCCTACCAAAAATTCTGTCATCGCTGCCCTCTTGACACACACACACACACACCTGCCAACTTGAATGCATGCGACTTGTTCGCGCAAAATGTTGATGTGATAACTGACCTTGCTCCTGACGTTAAACCCATTCTTCAACAACACTATCCACCCACGAAAACTTTCATCCATCTGACTGCCTATTCGGCGACCTGGTCTCTTCTACCTTAAATGGATGATTCCATCCGTTGCTTGAATAACCTGTGTTGTTTCTATCCTCCCAATCATCTCTCCAACACACCTATTTTGAACCTTTTCACCATCATAGCAGCCACATTCACACTCAATGCATCATTATCGTCATCAGGGCCGAGAATTGACAGTGGGAGGTGGAAGGTCGAACGCGAAACCAGCCAATGCTCAAGTAGAGGCGGCGGAGGTGGAAGAGGAGGAGGAGGTTTTGCGCATTACTCAGTGCTAATGAGTAGTATACGCGTACACACGGCCAGACAGTCCGATAATGAGCCAGCATGACCTCTGAAGCACACGCACACAAATGACTGAACTGTCTAGACTGTTGTTTCACTCCTACTCCCGAGCACCTACTAAAAACCTGGACGGTGGCTTGGTAACAGTAATAAAACTGATGTTTCCTTCTTTCCGCTTTACATCGGAAGTGTTGGAAATTTGGGTTTTTCTCCGTCTGAATATTCCCTTTTTTTTGTTTATCACCTGTCCATTGCCTCCTTCAACTTTTCTTCAACAAGCATATCCATCCTTTTTTTTCTTTCGAGGTTTATGCATCCATCCACTCGTGCACTCAACCTTTCAGTTTCCTGGCGATGGTTTTACACGCCTATTTATTAATTTCTTGTTGCCTTGACTTATCCATCATTTTATTTGGCATTTGCTCACTCTTTATTCATCCATCAATGAACTCAAGCGTCTAAGCATTTACCCTAACATAGATTAGCAAATGAACCGGGGATTGTTCATAATTGGTCAAAAGATGTTTTTAACCTTGTCTGTGTACCTTATTCCTCATTGGTTGGCGCTTTGAGCATGTCCATTATTTCTGTGAAAGCCCATTTTACCATGCCATCTTGGCGCAACACTTTCTCGTGAGGGAGGTTCTCAAACCCCCTCTTTCGCCTCTCTATAATGAAGCATAATTTTCCTTCTCTTGCTAGGTTTTTTTATTATGGGAAAAGGTGACTTTGGATCAATGAATTTGTGAATGGGGTGCGTTTTTTTCCTCCAATTTCGGCTCCCTAGGTGACCCGATTTGGAGGTGACTTGCTTTCCTGCTTTCTTATCCGTCTAAAAATGTCATTACTTTGGTTTGGTTAAATGGTTGAATTCCACAAACTTGCCTAATATGGTGCACAATGCGTTTTTAATGTTACACGGATGTTGTGATCGCCAATTTGCACCGAAATTTTTCTCCTTTGGAAATGAATGGATTTTCTTTCAGGAGTGGTTGCAGTGCGTAGCCAATCAGAAGACAAGTTTGATAAGTTTTTCCTTGTTGATAGGTTGATCGTCACTCAACCAATAGGTGTCGAGAGTTGTCTTTCCTACACCTTGTGATTTGAGATTTACCTTGTCACTTTACATTTTAGCTTCTCTGGCAGTAATTCTATCTTTCGAAAAATGGATTTCGGAAATGAGGTCATGAACATTGCTTCATACTATGATGTCAAAATTGTGCTTAAACAGCGACAAGGTAGGAAGAAACAATCTTCGCCAATGAGCTGGCTACCGTGGATTGAATGCCTGTCTAAGTTATAAGTACGGCGCACCTCCGTTATGCATTCAACACAAAGATACTTTTATTACTATGTTATCATCAAATTGCCTGTTAAAGGGCAACTGTACTGATAATGGAGTGAATATACGCCTCCGCTCCTTAAACCTAAAATTTAGAAAAACTAAATTATTTGTAGGAAGTCAGGACGTGATGTCTGTTTCTCCTTGCTAAGTCAACGAAATTTTAGCCTGTTTTTATTAACTATCTGTTTAATACGGTTTAAATAAACCATTTGTGAATAAGTGCCAGGCTTTTTAAACAGTCCCAGTTTTTCGCTCTCAAGGACCAAAAGACTTTCAGAGTTGGACCTTGTACCTCATTGTCTCAAATGTTTCGCACTGTTGTTTCGAGTCTTGGATGGTTCACATTGGAAGACCCCCAAGTCCACAAAATGTGTTACAACTCCGTTCTTATGTTGTTGTATCGTCCACTTTTCGGCTTTTACTCGCCGCACTTGAACGTTTCTCCCTTTTTGTTATCGGTTTCGGTCCCTGAAAATTTCTCCTAAATAGTTAATTAGTATAATTTTCGGAACTTCCTTAGGGAGGTGGCTGGTCTTTTTTAGGAAGTACTGTGAATAATTTAATGCCTTGGGAGAGTGTGCAGCATAACTGGAAGGTTAGATGAGCACAAGCCTACCTAGAGGGGCGCTTTGCCATTGTAATAGGACCTCTATGTCAGCCTTCTGGTTCTCTCTTTCCCTTTGTCCTGGTTTTCGGCTACATGCGTCCGTCCACTTTTACGCTGCACTATCTGTCACGGCAGCACCGACAATTGTTGCCACGGCGCAGAATCTCAATGGCATGATGGAGATAATAACATCAAGGCGTTTGAAGTAATGTATGCTTCTTATTTATTCGTTAACCAATCAAAAGCCACCTCTGATGCGATCAGTTTTTTATTCCCATAAGTGAGGTATCCGATTTCGCTTCCTAATGGTTCTCAAGTGGGACCTTCCTGCTCTCGACAGTTAACCTTTGCCTCTTGAAAAAAAGCACTATGCTAATTACCATGACACATTCGTACTGTTGTGACTTTGACCATCGTATTGCAGGATAGCTGAGGACAGCTTCTTGTTGCAGCGTCGGGTGTCTGTGGAGCTCTGAATATATTGTTTTTTTGCGTGATTCAGCGTGTATGATTTGAAGGGCCGATCGGAAGGAGTTGAGGATAGTTCTTTTACTCCAAAACTCTCAGCATAGACTTTTCTAAAGGGAAGCAGAGGTTGATGGAGGGAATGCCATACACGTGCAAATAAGTGTTTATTGAATGGAGGCATTCGTTTTATGGTTTTATTCTATAGAACAGTCGAAAGCATCCAGAGCTTCGCCCTTCCGTTGTGGCTGACAATGAATCGCCTCATCGTGGTTTGATGTCGCGTTCACCGCCTCCTCCACAAAATGCACCCACCACCACTACGGACGGCGTGGAGTATGCTGAGTTAACCTTCCCTCCGGCCTCGGAGGATCGCGGACCCTTTAGTGGGAGCAAGCGGGCAGTCCAAGTTGCTGCGGCGTCCTCCACACTTGGTCGAAGAGGCTCAGCGGGGCGACCGAGACGAGATCCATTGCCAGGTGAGTCTGCTACTCTTCTCAGTGACTGAGTTTTCCATAGTTCAAAATAACTTTTAAATTTGATCATGATTCACTCATACTGTGCATCGCCATAGCATTTCTTGGTCGTTTGGAAAATATGTTAGTTAATGGATCATGAGATCACAGACTACCTTGGCTGTTCTTGTTGTCTCTCCTATTTGCGTAGTACTGTCCACGCCTTTCAGACTTGGAAGTGTTTGTAAATCTTTGTTCGACTCCATGAAGAACGATTTGTCCAATTTCATTGAGTTAACTCCAGGTTTAACGATTAAAAGGCCTTTTCGATTCTAAGCTTCGTTCGCCAAGTTTTCGGCATTGTTGATGTTGACGCTCCTACCTCAGTCACTACCCTATTATCTGAGATTCCAAGGTCGGTTAGTAACTAAGCTGACAGTGTGACTCGTACATTTAGCTGTAAGTAAACCGTTTTTTGGCGCTCTGTATGTCCCCCACTTGCATCGGTCGGTGGGGGTGTCTGATCCGCAGTCTTGCAGATTGATTATCTGGTTGAGTAAACGATAGAAACTCTACTACCTCCCCTAGAGGTCTCAGATCCCATCTGCTGGCGATGCAATCTGTTACGGGCTCGGAGAATTCCCAAATTCATTAGTAGAATGGAATTTTTCTTTAACCATTAAATAAGCTCATTAAGCCTTCCTCTTCCACCTTAGGGCAGATGGGCAAATAACCGACTTGATCTACTGAAATGGTAATAAGTACTTGTTCTTGCCTCGCACAGGTCCCTCCTCCGCATCTATGCAGCAACTCCCACGATCGCACACACAAGGAAGCGAGGATGGAGAAGGAAATTATACGGAGATCATTGGAGTGCTGCAACCAAAGGCCTACACAAGCCAATTGGTATTGAAGCAGCAACAGGAGGCCACTCAAGCCATCCTTGGTATGCATACCAACGCCCCATCAGTTTTTGTGTAAAGTTTTCATTTTTCTCTCTTGCCTACTCACAAAACTACAAGTAGCTGTCCTCACCCTCGGATGTTGTTGCTGGTGCTGTTGATCCTCCTCCTCCTCCCCTCCTCCACCTTAGCGGCTGATGTCAAAGAACACTTACTATTTGTGATATGAGGCCAAGGCCATCACGACACTACCAAAAAGACATCAGCTGCCTTTGCTCCTACAAAGCTCCCCATTAAACTACCCCGACCGGTAACTATAAATTTTGCTTACAATCATGCATTATGTCAAATTTGGAAACTAACAATAAAAAATTAGTCAATATACATGCTGATAATCTTACTTCCCATGAGCTCCTTCAGAAGTGACTAGGAAGGATAATTTGGTTTGAGCTGAAGGGCTGCATGGGTTGGTGGAGCTTGGACATGTGAGTGAGGAAGGTGATAATTCGAGTGATTGATGAATGAATGTTTGGACAATCATCTGGAAGTGAGAATGCGAGAATAACATACCATTGTAGGTTGCGGTGCTCCTTTTCCTCTCCCATGATCCTCGTTACTTAGTAATCGTGGTTTATCTCTACCGCACTTTCCTGAATAATCGTCTACAACTTTCCTTGCACTTGTAGAACTGGCTAATGCATAAGCACGGACGATGGAATGGAAAGATAAGATGTGTACATCGTGATAAATGCATCAGGGCTGCCTATCAACTAGTCCAAAGGAATTGTGTTTGATTAGACTTTTGAATCAGATGGGGTGTATCCTCCATTTTCATGTTCCATTTTGCGTAGGTAGCTCCCTGAACTTCAATTCTAATTTACTCCAAAATCGACTGATCTCTACTTTGGCTGTGGTAAGCCTTGCAACTCAATCAGTGAATGAATTGCCTATCAGTGGTATATGATTTCACGAAAATGTAATGGAAATATGTCCTAGCTATTGAATTCCTTCCTGTTGTCTAAAATCATTCCCTCGAACAAAAGATAATCCAGTTTTTATTAAAGTAGACTAATGCACATTGGTACACTAACTATGACCTGATCGCGTGCGCCACACATTTAAAGGTGACAAAACAAAGGTGGGATAGCTAGTTGGGAACTGTAGCTGAAGGCAGTGGGTCAATGTGGCTCCTCGCAGCTGATTGGTGGAAAGCCACATGACCTTAATCGTCCAGCCAATAATTGCGGAGGCAGAGATCGTTCCCGAAAAATTAACCCCTAGTGGTGTAATAATGGGATGAGAGCGTTAACTTTGTTGTTCGATTGTTTTGAACAACTAATCCGATGGGTACACTCCATGGACGGGCTATATACAGTTTACCTCTACCTACAGAATACTAAGGCATCTCATTTTTATGCTCACTAATGGGAGTAGACTCCTGACCTCAGTTTAAGGTGTGACGATCAAGATCAATAGCTTTCCTCCTCTTAACAACTAGATATACTTTGATGTGCGGAGTCATTGTCTCAATGACACTGAGTTACGCTTTGTTCAATGGGAAGACCAGGTACATTTTACAAGAAATTTAACGAAGAACTTGTTTTGATGAGTTTGATACAAGGAAGAGTAAGCGTTAATTTTGTCTCAAGAAATTCAAACAGCTGATACCTAAGAAGAACTATTGATCCCTACACCTCAAGGTCAGACTCATTTCAAAAGTCCCTCGTGTCTTAAAAGACTTTTCCTACGAGCATGGCAACCTCACTCGCCTCAACTACTAGTGACGATGTTTGTAATGTCTCTTTTAGTGAGGCTTCGAAAAAATTGGCCAAATCTTACTACCAATTTGTTTGTGCAGACAAGAGGAATTTGGCTAGGTCAATTGTTGACCTCCAGGCTAGTTTTGAGGTGGCCTTTGGTGCTTTAGAGGATATTGAACGAACTGGAAGCGATGTTGAAAGTCTTCACTATGCAATTTATGGACTGGAGGAGGCTCTTTCTCGTGCACTCACTGAGCTTGTTGTAATTAGAGACGAAGTCCACACTTTGACCTTGGCTCTGAAACAAAGTGAACAATTCAATCTCAAACTTTACGAACAGCTAGTAAATCTGGATCACGAAGCCACCGATGGCATCGAGAGCAGTCGGCAGACGCTGAATGTTTCCAGATGCACAACTAACAAGTACCGCATTCCACAGACTACGAAGGAGGCTCTGGGTAGAGCCTGGGTTCACGATAATGCAGAAAATTCGCATGGTGATGTTACCATAACCTCACTTCTTTCATGTCAACAGACTTCCAACGAATTTCACAGTTGGGTCTGTCGCATTCAACGCGAACTCTCTCGTCGACATGCTGAATTTAGCTTTCTCATGTTAGGTTTATGGACCGAGGAGGTATGCACCAACTTCACATTGGCTGAAGATGCTTCCGGTGGAGAAGGTGTGGGATGTTTCCGTCGAAGAAGTCACAGATGCGAAAGTCCAAATGAAGAGGTTTCTCAGCGTCGAGAGGCTGTCATGCGATCTCTACTTCTAACTCATCACATTAAGATTGAAGATACTCCTGCCACTCTTAGCTTGATTCAATCTAAAGTGCAAGAGCTTGGAGATGAAGTCTTCACCGAATTACGACGAAGACGAGAGAGCTTGGAGGAGGCACGCTCTCTACATCGAACGTTGAACGACCAACTAAGTGGTCGTCGACACCAGTTGGTAGGAAGTCTTTTGGCCACACATCAAGCGGTACAAACACTGTTGGAAATGGATGAACAAAATGATGGATTAGTGGGAAAGTTGATTAAGACACGACCACTGTTTTCAGAACTGCAAGAAGCCGTGGTCAAAGGTGGTGGTGCTGATGGTGGGGCTGGCGCTGGTGGTGAATCCAGAAGTTTTGGATACGCAGGAGAGGCAACACCTGAATCATCTTTCAAGGCGTTGCCTGAGGTTTTAGGTGCTGAGGGATGGAGGGAGTTATTGGAAAAGTTAAAAACTGTCCGTTTGTGTGGAGCAAGAGTCTGCAATACCTCAAACCACTCTTCGAGGTTATTCAAATACACCGCTCCGGTTAGAAATCGACTTAAAAGATTGTAAATACCGAGAATTTATTTGCGTATTTCTTACTGAGGGTTTGAATTCTTAATAGACAATAGGAAAACAATTATGATTTCACCTTCGTTTCCTTAGGCTACAAAAGCCTTGGGCAAATTCGTATTGCCAGTCTTCAATTACTGCAGCAAGGATACAGAAGGGCTACTGATGATGATGTGGATAAAGTACGGCATTGCAGTTTCGTTGTTGACATTGAAGTGGGTGAGATGGTAACAGTTGGACGAGAAAATAGTATACCCTCGTGCAAACTGTTCCTCCCCCCCCCCAACATTTTGTTTGTCTTTGTTTTAAACATTAGTGTGTGCATTGAGACCTTTATGGATGCGTTAGTCCACACTGGCCGGCTGATCTTCTACTGCTAACCCATTCAATTAGTACTAGCCTTCATCATTGGCAAAAAAGAGATTGCATGCCAGCTTAATCGGCTTCAATCAACTCCAATGCTTAAGAACGCGGGATTGCAAAAATGCACTCTGACTGAGGATAAAGGGTATCAAACAAGTGATTTTGACCGCGACCACTAGGTCATTCCGACTGACAGATTGACCCACCCAAATCTACATCTCGCACATGTGACGCCTCATTGCTCCAGTACAAACTCCGACCTAATCGCATGATCGTCTGTCCCTTACCCACCCTTTACTAGCTTCTGCCCTTATTTAACGCTGTTCCCTCCCACTGAGACAGAGCTACTTTGGACTCGGACAAGCTAACAATAACTCGGCAATTCGATATACTTTATAAGCAAATTCAAGGCTTTCTTACTAAACACCCGAACCAGTAGTTGAAGCCCCTTTCCCCGATACAACAACAAATTTTCCGGTCAAATCAACCGTAGATCGTTGACGCGGACGATTTGTCGCTTGACAACTGTACCAGTGTCTTCTAAGATGCTTTCGTAGAAGCACGTTCTGCAGAGTGCTGCGCAGAAGCAACCGAACCTAGAGAGAATGAAAGACATCAGTGATTCTGTTTTTACAGCATTAATTTAATTAAGGACTGGACCGATTGATCGAAATTTGCGTCGGCCTACTTTGAAAAATTCAGTAAAATTCATAAATCGGTTCTAAAATAAGGCCTCATGGCAGCCGTAATGCATTTATTGTCGATCATGCAATATGGAGTTGTAGTGAGAAACGTCTAAATTTCTAATCTTTGAAAAAGCATGAACCAGCTGATCCTCTCACCTCTTCATTCAGGAAACAGTAAATGAGAGCAACCCAGAAACCCTGCAATTTGAGGGAAAAATTATTAGGCAAGAGTAATAAAATGCCTAGATTAAAAAGAATTGAGAATCCAGCCTGGGTTTGCGACGACATCTTTTTACGCAATTATAAAGAAAATTTTAACGCGATAAAATTTGCCTGCTTTTACATTTTTCTCAAATATATCTGCTAAACAAGTGAAGAAAAACATTTAAATAGAATATGTGCAATAGAATGAAAATGAACCACTTTTCACAAGATAAATTAAGCTATGTATACCTTTTAAAAACTAAACATTTTTCAGAGGAACCAGATTCTCACACCCAAGCTATTTTCAACATCCCAATTGATGTTTTGACGGACTTAATAAACAGCGCTACATTCAAAAGCCATAGATAAATTATACTTCGGCATGATTTCCGGCGAAAACGTAGAATCCCTCCATAATTGTTCAAACTAACAATTGAACTCAAAATGCTCAACACAATCACACATTCCTTTCAAACTCACCTGAGTAGACGTGACAACGGCATTCACGTAGGTGAAGATTTGTACAACTGATGAATGATAGGGGACGATAAATATCACCTGTGGGATGCCCAACAACGGAATCAGCATCAGGCAGGCTTTCAATGACTTCCTATTTTAACAAGAATAATGACAGGTTTTTTTGAATGGAAGCCGGAAATCGGTTGAGATTAGGATAACACAAGTCCTCAAATTGGAGGAATAACAAAGCATTTGCCCTCTCATATGTTCTCGTTGCCTTCATCAAGAGTGTAAATGTGGTTTATTTCCACCTGTTTTGTAGTCTTCCCTGGTAGTCTCCTTTTCCCAAGAATGATTCACATCAGCACTGTCGGCTCTTTCACTTCTAGACGCGTTGACCATTTGTTTCATTACTTCATAAGTCTATTAAGAAAAAACGGGCTTTTCTTCTGAAGTCTTGATTTATGAACCTTCGCCAAGCCCAATTATCCCCATTACTCGGTGACAAAATTCGTAACTAATGTACTCATATCTGCTGCAAGCGGGTACTATAGTCGTCACGAATTCGTACCAACACGACTACACCATCTTATCAAAAAAGATGAATTTGTGACCCCATCGGCTAAGAATTACATGCACTCCTTCCGCAAACAGCACGCTGGGGCATAACATACGACTGTTTCCTCCATTTTTTACGAGGATACAAATACAACCGTCAAGTGTGCCCATCAAGAAGATGCCGTCGGCCCACCACAGCACTATCCGCCCTGAAGACCAAACAACATCAGATCATTGAGAGTCTTTTTCTTATAAAATTTAAATTGCAACTTCAAACAAAGTATTTAACGTGCGAGTACACAAGGACAAAGATAATAGAAAGAGGAGAATCCAAGACAAATCACGAAACATGTTCATCAGGACTCACAAAATGTGAACAAAGCCCATGGATGCCAGACACGAGGATAGTTAAATAGTCAGACAAAATTAAAGTGTTTGAAACACACCTAAAACAGTTTGGATCCTAATGTTCCAAATCCAACTAATTCACCTATTATAATCACTGACATTCTTCCGACCTCTGCGGCTCAGACAAATTCTGTGAGCGTTCTCCACTTGACAAACCACAACTGCTTCCACTCCTCTCCACCCACGCACACCAGCCCCCTCACGTCACTGCTCATCTGCTGTGTGTCTTTGTGACGTGAGCACACAACACACGAAAATACGCCTCCCCTCCTCCCTGATTACATTGACAGCTCCACCTCCTAACCACTCCACTCTACCACACCACAACTCATCCAACCCTTCCATTGAGGCTCACCCTCAACACTCCCTCCACTTACACTGACTCGGACCGATTAAAACGTGTCGAAAGTCGGAAGCGTGAACGCGAGGAGGTGGGTCGGTGTCGCACGTACAACCAGCTTGGCTTGCCATCACGTGTACTCGCCACCTCAAGGTCGTGGGATGGGAAGGGGGGCGATGAGTTCTTGGGCACCTTCAGTCGGAAGATGAGAGCATAGATGATGGAGATGAGGACAAGGGCGTTGCTCTAAACACAATCAGCACAAACAATGCTTCCAAGTGCTCAGCAAATAGGGCATTTCATCACCACCACTGCCACCGGTACCATTAACTAACCCATCAGCAGCACAACTATTATTAGCATTGCCACACGACCACCATTCATTCTCCATACATATGTGGGACTGTGACTGTGTCAGGCGTTGACGAGGTGTTCTCCACCCTCTGCAATGCCATCCACATCACCTCGCCTCGTGTCCCCCCAAGTGCCTCAACCAAATGCCGTCAAAGTCACCAGTAGCGGTGCGAATGGCCTAAACTTCATCCCCCTCCCCAAACTAACTATCTCTGACTCCGTTTGGTATATCCACTTGGCATTCTTCACGATATTGGCAACAATGGCAAATGGGAACGCAGAGAGAGATGCAACAGTAAGTTTTGCCAGTTTTTGCACGCGTTAAGTGTGGCGAAGACATAATTTCTGATAACGTGACACCTTGGAGAAAGTAAATACGTAGACAAACTCACCGATAAAATGATAAGAGATGGCAGGGAGATGAGGTAAAAGTCCTGACTCTCTTCAATCCACCGTCTAAAAGGCCGAGTTAAGTGAGAATTAATGAATTACGTGCTGGGATGAGTGACAGCGTGAATGGTGGTCCAAATTGTGACGAATATCGCTGGAACACCTAAGCACAAATGCGAATGTCAATCAGACGGGGAAGACAATGGCATTAAATATCAAAAATTTGGTCAATCAAGTAGATGGTAATTGAGGAGATGTTACCCCATCCAAAGAGAGCGTAGTGCCAAATCCGGACTTGATGAAGGCGGAAGGTCCAATAGACAATGTTTAATAAGTAGACTCCTTCCACGAACATCCAACAGAGCATTGCCAGACTGGCCCATGCCTGAACCGATGTGGTTGCGTTGTAGAGATACTAAAAGTGAAATAAATTGAGTCACTTGAAATAAAGTGGGTCATAATCTCATGCATGAATGACGAGGAAGAGAGGAGAAGGTAATGGAGAGAAAGAAAGCCATGACTTAAAATTTGCTTTGAAGTTCTCCTTTCTGGATCCTTTTCTTCTGACAAAAATAGGGACTCGAACATTGTCTGGTCAATCGATTGGCTACCAATGAGCTACTGTGCTACAAACTAAAATTCCGTGAGAGAAGATTTAATCAAGAGAATTCACATGCAAAGAATCGCAGCAAATCAAATTCATAGGAAGAAAACTAGCCAAGAAGTAGGCAATTGAACATCAACCACTTCTAAACGAGGATTGAAAATCCCACCTATTGGCCCAAAATGCGCAATAATTTATCACTTTGAGTTGATAACAGCAACTAAAAGTTGAAGTCGGAGCACTTGACCCTCACCACTAAGTGGATAAGCACTCAACCAAGAGAAGCTAACAATTATGGAGCAGCACTTCAAACTAGCATCTGATAGCCAGAACAAAGGTTTTTACGCACAGACAACAAACACATCTTTGGATTAAACGAAGAAAAAATCAGCAGACCTAGACTCATTCAACTACACAACCATACCAAATGATGTTTTAAAAGTTCAATTTTCGTTATTGGAATAAAACACTGACAAAAAAATTGCACCTTAAAAAAGGCAAAACTATATCATCTTCACAAAAAACCGATGTCACTGGCCTAATACGCTTCAAAAAGACCCATGGCATAAAATGCCACAATCAGGCGATTACTCACAAGGATGCTAACATTAGCGCACCAGGAAAAGTAGATAGAGTACTCGGATAAACATTTCGGGCAACAAAAGTGGTTAAGCAGAGATATCTTGGATGAGTTACCCACAAAAGACTGATGTGCAGCACAGATGGAATAAACGCCATCTGTGCAAATCAACATCTCTTTAAATACAGCAATTAGTTTGTCCCATGCTCCTCTAAAGAACCTCTTTAATGATCCTGTAGAAATAAAAAGATGTCATTGAAAATTTGTAATGTCATCTCCTGGGCCCAATGAGAGAATAGCAGACACCCTAGCTTAAGAAGTAACTGGATCGAGCATCTCCAGAACCTATCAAGACGACCATAAGTGCAGCCTGAAAAGAATGAGAACAGAACGGGTGAATCAAGAGGTGATTGGTACCATAAAATAATTTCTTCGTGAATATGGACAAATTTTGCACCATCAGAAGGAGCAAGATATCGACAAAGTCCAAGTAGGAGGGGCAGATTTACCAGGGATGAGGTAGCTTTAATTAGCAGAACAACTATGAGGTCCTCTAAACCAAGATGATTGCCAACGCTTTCCAGATTTGATGTAGGTCCTCTTGCACATAGAAGCTGCAGTGTCGTGATAGCGATCAGTTCGTATGATTGCGATGTACAGGACTACGATTGATTTCATGTAGATTGAGAAGATATATAGTAAATCATCTGGTTGAGCACTATAACAAAGACTGCTCTCACGCCACATTTGCGCAGCTAACTCTACCAGTGACCTTCAAGTTCCTGTAGCCGCCGTTGGGTACCATAGAAATAAAATAAACTTTATGTAATTAATTAATTGCCAATAAAATGGTAGACGTAATATACGAAGTAAATTAATATAAGTTGTAAAGAAACTGGCACTTAATAAGCATGGTAGTGTCGTGCAGCAAATATGTAATTAAATGTGGTTAAATGTGCAAACACCTAAAAAACTGGCATTCCGCAAAGTGATGTGATCCTACCGTAATACTTTGTTTATGTGGCTACCTGCGTTCAACCTCACTTATGCTTCTTCCACCCTATGAGAAGCCTCGGGATGCTGCACTTAAGAATATAACTTTTACTCGTAAAACAGCAAAAGTCGATAAAATTTGATCCCTGCTAATGGTGTTTCTAGTCATATTGTAGCGATCTCAATGATGTTCAGTTAGGTCTATCGCTTTACGGCTTTTGGTGACAAAGATTGCAACATCATTTCTCCAGCTTTCTTTTAATTTAACATCTTCTCCCTACCAAAAGCGATTTGGCTTTTTCAGCAATGTTTTGTTATAAACTTACCGTTACAACTAACGTGTTTAGTCGTGTGGTGCCATAGAGTGTCAGCCAGGCAACAACACGAATCACCAGGGTGATCATAAGGTGAACGTGGATATAGTTCCTCAGACAGTGTAGGGATCTAAAAATAAGCATAGCTATGAGTAGCATGTAATTTTATTTTAACCATATCCCATCTTATTTGTTTTTGTTCATTTATCTACTCTTCTACGCGCAAATCAGTTCACTTCCTCGCATCCCTATCCAGCTTTTACCTATTGATTTGTATCCACTCCAACTCAATTTACTTGCCACCCGAACAATCGCCTACTCACCTGAAATGTTGAAAAACTAAAAGGGCAATAAGAAGGCTGAGGAGGGAGAAGCAATAACCGGTGCAGAAAATTGCCTGCAGGTAGAGCGTTTCACCTGCCTCCGTCGGGGACTCCGTAAGTACACACGCAGAGTAGTCGGTCCTGTTAGCCCAGGCTCCGTGCGTGTCACACGTTCTTGTCGCGTTGGCTAAATGCAGGCAAATTTTGCGTTTTAGGTTGTTTGCTTTTTCGTTTGCTGCTAACTTAACCCTCAATTGAATGCATTCCTGGATAACGTGTTTAGCATGGGACAATGATATTATGTGGAAGGGAGACGTTTCATCATTGTTACGATGAGGGTAAATAAGTTAATCCTTGACTCATCTCTCGCCTTAAAAGTGTGTGTGGGCGAGGTGCTGTAAGACTAAATAAGTTTTACACTTTAAATGGATTGAATTTGTGATTTGACAAAATGATTTTGTGCCGGTGGAAATCATAAAACTACTGTCGCTTCAAATTCCCTTCTGCTCTAAAAAGCGTAGGTTGAAAGCAATTTCTGATCACACCTTGAGGAAATTACGATGCACGTTTTGAAATAGAGCTTGTTCTCAGAGGATAAAACGGATAGGCAGACACGGAAAGAACACGGAGTGGGGAATGGGAGAACGAATGATTAAATGGGTGGATTTAAAGTTAGTTGAATGACTATGGAATGGATGGACGGTTGTACGGGTTGATTTAAGAGCAAATGGATGAAGGACCAGAATAGTTGGTGGATGAGAATGATTACGCAGTGTATAAGCGCGGAATGATGAATGGGCAACAAATGTGGCTACATGGAGAAGGGAAGAGTAACCTGAGGATTGAAAAAGTGCCCCATTTGCTGAACACTTGGAAGCATTGTTTGCGCTGATTGTGTTTAGAGCAACGCCCTTGTCCTCATCTCCATCATCTACGCTCTCACCTTCCGACTGAAGGTGCCCAAGAACTCATCGCCCCCCTTCCCATCCCACGACCTTGAGGTGGCGAGTACACGTGATGGCAAGCCAAGCTGGTTGTACGTGCGACACCGACCCACCTCCTCGCGTTCACGCTTCCGACTTTCGACACGTTTTAATCGGTCCGAGTCAGTGTAAGTGGAGGGAGTGTTGAGGGTGAGCCTCAATGGAAGGGTTGGGTGAGTTGTGGTGTGGTAGAGTGGAGTGGTTAGGAGGTGGAGCTGTCAATGCAATCAGGGAGGAGGGGAGGCGTATTTTCGTGTGTTGTGTGCTCACGTCACAAAGACACACAGCAGATGAGCAGTGACGTGAGGGGGCTGGTGTGCGTGGGTGGAGAGGAGTGGAAGCAGTTGTGGTTTGTCAAGTGGAGAAAACTCATAAGGACAATGAACGACAGTTCATGACTTATCGTGACAACAGTGATAATAGAAACAGCACTAATTTTGAAAGGCAGAGAGTAATTCTTCCTTTAAATTTGCTCCTGATAGATGGCAAACTTCCCAAGGGGTGAACGTTTTCGCTCAAACTTAACGTAGTAGGCTTTAAAACGTTCAGCTAGGCTTGCTAGTGGGGGGATTTAGGCAGATCTCCTCCTCATCTCCCCACATTTTTCTACTCCTTAAGCAAACACACTTTAATTAGTGAGATGGGAGAGAAAATGGAGCCCAGTTTCTCCATTTGCGATCAACGTAATCACACGATTTGTATCGGTGAGTTTTATGGATGAGTGAGGATTTTGACTTCATGTGAGAGGAGAGAACAACACATTCTTCTTAGTAAATATAATCACTTTCCCTTCTTCTTCTTCTTCTTCACCTTGAGGCACGAACCGATTCGAGAGCAAGGAATTTTGCAAAAGGGGTAGATTTTCAAAAGAAAGTCCGCATCTTTTTTGTCCCTGGTTCGATGAGAGAAGACTAATGGCGCTACGCTTTGCAAACGGCAAATGCACTTCTTTTGCTCAAATCTACCACTTCTGTACTAAATTAGGCAAATAAAAGCGAACAGAGACTCAAGTCTTAACACTGGACTTATCAAACCAATCCAACACAAATTGTGGCACAAAAGTCTAAGAAAGCACTACCAATAAGGTCGCCAAAGAGACTTCACTTTAAGTCGTTTTTCGGATTGGTGGACTCCAATAAGTAACGGAAACATTTGTAAGTCGTAGGTATGTCACCTTCTATTTTAAGGGAATCAACATCATGCGCGTAGGATCCCGCAAAAATATTTCTTTTAATAGGTGGCAATACTGCCTTTACCAAGTTAGCTGATGTTCAAATAAACAAGTTGTTCCATTTCCTTATTTAATTTGTATTTATTTGCTGTGCAAACATTGTGCCCTCTCGTGTCTTTCACAGTGCCCAAGATCGATACAGTATCATTGCTCTAGGAGGCAACAGATGTTCTTCAGCAACTCCTTTTCAACACACTGTCGATCCTCTTCCCTTTTGTCTACGCCAATGAGGAAGACTCAGGAAAATGATAAAACATTGTAGCAAGGGTGGTGACACGGATGAGAAGGACAGAGAAAACCACCGTAAGAGGCTGTAATGCCCCTATGCAGTTGGCATGTAGGCGGCATAATTATGGTTCACTAAAGGAATCGTTGCATTAATTATTCAATATTCATTAAGCAAATGAAAGGCATATGCTCCGTCCCATACTTCTTGCAAATTATTTAACAATTAGTCGAAAATACAAACAATTGGTCAACACAACCTAACCATTGATTTTTCGTAAAAGCATAATGTCAAAACCACCGTAAACTATTATTACGTCGATAGACGTGCCACCAAAATTACAGCTAAATAATAAATCAGTTGAACACTCAAATTGTACTTAAAATTGTGTTGTATGTGAGTTTTAATTTAAAACGCAAAATATCTTTCACGTTTTTTTTTCTTGGTTCTATAAAATATCGTGACGTAATGACCTTCCAGAAATTAAATGACCTAATTGGGCTGAGATGACCCTCATAGTAGTAACGCGGTCCTTTTGATGTGACTAGTAAAGTTCCTATTTTATACCTGACATTAGGATTGCTCTCAAAGAGTTGAGATTTCCGAAAAAATTGTTTAAATATTAAAACTGCTACTGCTTTATAAGTTGGCTTCTTGTGATGAAAGTTCCGCCTTTCTTCGTACAAGGATGGGAAATTTTGCCCACTTCGATATTATCTTTGAAATGCGTGAGTGTCACAATCAACTTAATGACACGGTGATTTTTGCTCTGTTCATTGCCTCTCAAAAGTAAATCATCATTGCTGTCGCGGTCTGACCAAACACTAGCTAATGGGTGGGAGTGTAGCGAGGCAGAGGCGAAGGAGCTTAGAGTATTACGATGGGAGAGGGTTTTTACCCAGAATTCGTTAGTGTTGGAAGGAATTTTGTAAGATCCTTTTTACTAGTTATAGTTTCCATTTAAAAAGTTATGTAATGAGATCTAATTAGGGTGTGGCAGCAACACTATTTTTTTTATGTCCTCCCACTCTTTAACTGGCAAGCATTTTATTTTATTCCATGAATTTGGAACATGAGCCGAACTTTTAGGTGAACAAGCTACACACCCTCAGATTGGAAGTTGTCAAGTGGACTCACATAATGCATTGTACGTAGCTCCTTCAAATGAAGCAGGACAGGATAGGTGAACTGTTGTCCCAGGTAGCGCAGGCGGCCAACACATCACCCCGTCGTACACTGCGGGACAGTATTCTGTAATACCTGAAATCAGAGATCGCAGTGTTAAAGTGTAGCTACAACTTCGATATAAGGTTCGTTTATTTGACTTGTCAAATCGCTTTTTTCGAACCTTTGAGTAGATGTTACGAGATCCCACAACTTGACCTACACATTTACCGTAGGGGTTTTATTGCACGCCACAACTACTTAAGCACCATCTCTGCAGTTTTCCTTCAAAAACTGTGCCACCGTTGAGTCAAGCCCCCTTCTAATGGTACGAAGGGCATAAAACATGGTGTCGATTAGCGGCAGTCTTAAAATCCGCTTTGGAACTCCATTCGCATTAGCAGAGGCGCCAAAATTCATCCAAATGATGTAAATGTTTTGGAAAAGAACTGTTCGATCGTTTAAGAGAGCGTCAAGAAGTAAACATACATGCAAGTACCTGCTGCAGTATATGGTCTCATCTGTGGAAGTCGGATTGTACATATTGCTCCGGATGGCACCTGATAGGAATCCTTATTTGACTCCTTGTAATAAAAAAAATCATAAGAAGGCTTTTCACTAACCCCCCAATTGTAGTAAGAGGCGTCCAGAACACGGGAGTGAAGTTAAGCGCTCGTGCATTCAGACTGCAGGTGGTGTCTTCCATGACACAAAATTCCCGAGCAGTTCCTCTTATGTCCAGAAAGCTTAAGAACTTGCTCCTTTTAAGGCTTTGTTCCTGACCTCGTCGACTAAACTTGAGGCTTGTCTCAAGACGTTGATGATAGACGTTTTGGTCTCACTTTAGAAAGATAGCTGGGAAGGAGAGAAAGGGGAAGTGGAGGATGAGGGCTGAGAAGAGGGGTGACAGATTCTCCTGACAAACAACTTTTTCCTTCTGAGTTGGTTAGTCGGGAGGCAGGTTGGACAGCCGTGTTGATCTGGCCTGTGAACAGTATGAATGGCAGGTTGAAGCTAACCTGTCCCGCCGCCCCATTCCTCAACCTCCAACAAAATTGCCTTTAAAACAAGTTGACCAACTGTATCCCCAGGACGCAGAACTAGTCCAAACTGTTGCAGGAAGGTAAGTTTTCTCATATTTTTTTGATTCGTAGGAAAATAATTTAGTGGAATGTGCATTCTGATATGCTTTTAGGTTCAAAGTCAATTGATGTCTTTAATGTGAGTGGTAAAGGCGAAGAATGGAAAGTAACAGCGGTCCAACAATGCTTTCTAGGAAGGAAGTTGCTTTAAGTAAGGAAGCAGATGCCGCTTCTTTGCTGTTAACCCTCTCGATGGTTAATTGTAATGCATTCGAACTATTTAAAGTTGTACTTTTAGGTCAGAGTTGAGAGTTTAGTTTTGGCGCTGTGATTAAGGAGACTGTTGTGACTCCGAACCAAGAATAAGCTCCCTTTTCATCTTCACCTGTACCGAAATGTCTTATAAAGCACCCAAAGAAGGCACGCTCCTGAGAAGCCGGCCGGACGGGAGTCAGATGACAGTGGCGCTGAGGCTAAAAGTATTTTGCCATTAAAATCACATTCCGTTTCAGCAATATTTAAAGAATGCATCTAGATTGCAAATCACCTATAAATTACGACACCTTTAAAGCACAGATACCTTACCTTTATGGACATTAAAATATGCTTGAATGCAAGAAAATCTTAATTGCATTGACAATAAAAAAGTTTCCTTAAAGAGAAAAATATGTTGAATAAAAATCCAACTTAGTGTAGTGGTGCCTGTAAAGGCCATTTCAAACGCCTTTGAGGCATGCAGCTGGCCACATTTTGCCGCTAAATTTGCTATCGCATGGCATTGGCATTTATGCTTCGAAATACACTTTACCACGATGCAAACTTGAGAGTTAAGTCCCGAAATGGTTTAGCGAGTTTAGCGGGGCATTAATCAAACACTTTTACAGAAAAGAGCGGGAAGCTACTGAAGGTGATGTAATTAACCTTTTTTCATAGACCGCTTCTTATAATAGGGTCGGTGCATTTCGAATGTGAAAAATTCGTAAGTAGAGTATAAACGATACTGAATCAAATTTTTCCCAATAATATCTTCTTTCCTTAAGAGTTATTTTATAAAAATTTGTGTTCATTAATTCGATTGGCGACATTTTAAAAATTGTCGCTCACCAATTAACTTTTAGTGGGTGTTTTTAATGAAACTGGGTATTACCTTAAAAGCTGGTCACTGAATTTTTCCTTGTTTTCAGTAGTTAGTACAGTTGCCTTGCTTTTTTTAGAAGATGGATCGAATGTGTTGAGTGTTCCACATCTTTTAGCTCCTCAGCCCACTCCAGTTCGGCAAGCAATGTTAGGTTCGATCCGGTTCTTTTGTATCTCACTTTCATTCCTCTCTGCACACCCTTTGGTCCACTTCCCATACGCTATCTAACTGTCTGAAACTGGCATCCATAAAAATGCCTAACGGCGTATCATTATATGCAGAGGGTTGGACAGTGTACTCCCCTCCCTCGGCCTCCTCGCCGTTCCCTCCGTCCTTGCATTGCATACTGCGGAGCAAGTATTTGTCGGAATGGAGGCTAGGCATCAGATTGTGGAGTGAACACAAAAGACTGCCTTTTCGCTATTCAAGTTGCTTTTTGAGGAAGTTTTCGTGTGTATTAATAGACAAATCTTAGTCAGTGACGTTTTTGGCCTCTAGCGACAAAACACAGCAACTAGACCACTGATGTAGATAAGTTCACTAATTCCTCCCTTTTTTCACCTCACTTTTTCGCTCCCCGTACTCCCACTTTTCTGCGAGCCCCCTCAGATGAAGAGTGGTCGGAGGAGCCGCGCCTGGAATATTCTGGAAGGTCTTGCGATACTTTAGTCAACGTAGACGTCACCAATGGACCAAAAATCGTCTTTCAGTTTAATTGAGTGTTTTGGTTGTCTACTTCCAATGCCACTACTGGGCTTAAAGGATTAATCCGTCTAAAATGGTTTAGATTTGAACCTCCTTTCTTTGTGGTTTTGGAGACTGAGCGAGGTG